GCTCTGGCCCCTGCCTCCAGGGGCTGTGGGGATAAGTGGAGCCACTGTAAACAGTGCTGACCAGGGCCTGGCCTGACGAACCTCCCCCGCGTATCAGTTCCCACCACCACAGCCCACGAGAGCCAGAGGAAAAGCCAAGCTCAGAATTAAGCAGCATCCAGGCAAGGTCATCCAGTGGCATGGGGAGCAAGCAAGGGTGCTTTAGGGAACCCAACATCAGTCCCAGCAGCACGAGGAGAGGAGCCCTGGCCTCCCAGGATAGCCCTGGGGGCCCATTTCCCAGCTGCTGTACGGCCTGCACCCACGTGCTCCCCTACCAGCCGAAGCCACAGTCAGGACCCAGCCCCACATCCCTAAGCCGCAGTTTCCTCCTCTGTAATTTGGGAGAGTTGTGCTTGTTCAGCTGACCTCTTGGCTGGAGGATCCAGAGTTCATAGGAGAACAGTGGCTCTTCTTACAATCAGGCTTCAGCCCAGGTGCCACCTCCTACAGGAAGCCTTCCCGGGCTCCCTGTCTGGACAGACCCTCCCCCCTCCTGGCCCCTTCAGCCACCTGTGATCTCCCAGGAGGAAGGAAGGGAGGCAGGCAGGCAAGCGTATAAAGGAAGCTGGGCACAGAGCAGGGCCAGGCCCCTCCCTCCACTCATTGCTCCTTCTCACAGTGACCACAATATACAGACCCAAGCTTAGGTCCTTCCTTCTGGGAGCCCTCCTTCCTTCTCTCTCCACCCACACAGTCAGACCCTGCTTCTAACTGGCTGCAGAGGCCCCTCCATCCCTCTCTCTGTGCCAAGTAGTCAGGGCACACGCTCATGGCCTCATGGGCAGTTTATTTATAGAGCTCTCATCTTTCCCAGGGTGGCCCAGGAAAGAGCTCTGGCCTTCCAGGCAGACAGACCGGGGTTAGGATCCCAGTGACACTAGGGTCTTGCAAGTCCCTTCTCCTCTCTGGGCCCTTCTTTCCCTGCCTGTACCTGGAGAAGACTGCTGACCCTCGGGACATGACACTAAAGATGTGCGAGCCTCAGGGGTCCTAATCCCAGGGCTAGGCACACAGTAGGGATGCAGCACTGGCTCCCTCCTGTCCTCCTTGCCACCCCAGCCAGTGGCACTAGGACCAGGCCCAAGCACCCAGGGCCTCAGCAAGCAATGGGTGCTGAGCTCGGCCAGAGACCTCATCCCACTCACCCCCAATCCTGAATGGGGGTGGGGCCAGATGGGCCTTGCTGGCTGATCTCAGGCAAAACCCCTCCCCGCCACCTGGCAGAAGGGCCAGCCCCATACAGAAGGAGTCTGGCCTTATCCAGCCAGGCCAGGCGCTGAACAGCCCCACCACTTCCCCCTCCCAAGGCAGGTAGCCAGCATGGTCCTTCTGTGGAAACTGATGCCAGAATTGTCAGACAACCCTTGCCTCCACTTGGAGACAGGGCAAGGCAAGATCTTGAGTGCCAGACTCCAGCATCATGGCTGTGGGACTCAAACTAGGTCTGCTCCCCTCTGCCCTGAGTCTCAGCTTCCCCACTGAACAGCTTGGGAAGGAAGGGGATCCTCTGTCAGTACCGTTGAGACCTGAGCCCAGGGCCTGGCACACAGCAGGGAATCTGCTGGCCCAGAATAGGGGTCTTGTCTGAGGAGGGCCCATGGCAAGCACCAGATGTGCCCCTACAAAAAAGATGGCCATGAGTCTTCGCCTCCAACCCCCCAGCACACATGCAGGAGCATCGGAGACCCTGGGTGCAAACCTCCCTGTGCATCCCAGCACACAGTAGGCCCTCGGTGGCTGCCCTTCCTCAGGAAGAGGCCTGGCCAGCACAGATATGGCAGCAAGAGAGGGCAGGCTTCTCGCCGGGGCCGCCCTACCCAGCTGGGTATGCAGTGCCCATGAGTGCCCCACACCTGAGCCTATGCCCAAAGGTGAGCGGGGACACCTGGCAGGTGGACCACAACAAAGAGGAGGAACTAACATTGGGCTAGGAGGGCTTCTTGGGTGAGGGGAAGCTGTGCCCTGAATGGCCAGGAGGGTTCTAGAAAGAGGAGAGAGCAAAAGCAGAGGCAGAGTCGAACCGAGGCATCTGGTAGGGAGAGATAAGGGTGACGATGTAAAGGTCAAAAGGTCTTGGAAGGAAATGTCGAGGCCAGGATGAGGAGTCTGGGCTATATTGTGTAGGCAAAAAAGTAAGTGGCCCTAGGGAGGGTGCTCTGACAGGGCGTGGAAGAACTGGAAATGGAGGCAGGGGGCTAGCCCAGGTGTCTGGGCCAGAGCGGGACCTAAGAGGGAGCCGTGATTTTGTGAAGGTGTGTCTCGGGCCACATGCAGGCTGCCGGGGGACATGTGGCAACACAGAAGGTAGGAAGGGGCCCTGCCTGAAGGGTGAGAGCCAGAATAAGAGGGTTCTGGGGCCCTTGGGTAAGTCTTGGCCCTTCTCAAACCTCAGTCTCGCTCACTCGCTCTGGAAAAGGAGGCTGACCCTACAAGCAGGGGCAGAGCGCTGACTACCCCTCAAAGTCTCCCCTCCTTGGCCAGACACAGGTACCTCCCTCCGGCAACTATCAGATGAGTCCCAACGGGGGCCATGTGTAGAAACCCAGCCTGGGCCCACTGTCATCCTGGGAGGCCCAAGTTCCCAGAAAGGTCTAGCTTGGGCAGCGCACAGGATAGGGCTGGGAGGGCTTCCATCAGGGCTAGGACCCGAAGAGGAGGCTAACCCTTCCCCTCTCCCAACCCCTCCCTGGGCCCTGAGCTATTTCCCTGTTTGCTGGGGATGGAAATAACTCAGGCTCAGCCCCAGGAGACCAAGATAGCTATTCTGATCAGCCCCAAGAAGCGAAGCTCCAGTCATTCCATAGAGGACCGAGGGACACCCTGACCCCCCAGCTCTAGCTCTCGGCCAAGCGGCAGCAGTGGTCAGAACTAGCAGGGGCCTCTGGGAAGAACAGAGAGACTGAAGGACTGAGAGGGTGGGGCAGAAGCTCAAGGTCACCCCCGACCTGCCCCCAACCACAGCGTGTGGGGAGATTTGGGAAGGTGCCCCTAGAGCAACTCTGAATAGGGGAACAGAGCCTCTCCAGTGTGGTGAAGGTCAACTGGGACTCTCAGCTATCCTTGCCCCCTGCCCTGCGCCCCGCACCCTGCGCCTGGGCTGTGCTGCTGACTCCTGACACTCTGTAGCTTTGTGGATGCTCCCAAAACCAGCTGCAGGCTCTAGAAGACGGTAGACAGGCCTCTCTGGTGGCCTCTGGCCAGGGGTGAGTCCTGTGGGAAGGGAAGAGGAGGAGGAACAGGAAGACCACATAACCGATCCACCCACAATGTTTCAGACATGTGCAAATACACACCACACTAGGAACTCACAAAGGCACACTCTGACAGGGCCTTGCTTGTCAGCCCAGGTTTGAGAGAAGAAGCCCAGATAAGCCATGAACAGATATTAGAAAGGTGGGTGGCCCTCTCCAAGCATCTCACAGGGTTTTGGGGGCAGAAAACCTGAATTCCAATCCTAGCACTGTCCTGACTCTGCATGACCTTGGGCAAGTCCCTTTGCTTCTCCGAGCCTCGGCTTCCTTCTCTGAAAAATAGTCACATCTCAGAACCACTGTGAGGATTCAGCAAGAGTACACCATAGTTCAGCATAGCACCTGGCACTGTCCCTCTATCCTCGCCCCAATGCAGAATGCAACCAACATTTTCAGAGGAGAACAGAACTTCCAGATCCTTTAGCAGGTATCCCCTCACCCCACCTGGTCTAGAGAGCCCAACTTCCATTCCACTCTGCATGAACCCAACAGACCCTCTTGTGGAGATGGGAGCCTCATAGGGTCTGGCCCAGACGGTGCAGGGGCCCTGCTCCAGCTCTCCAAATCAGACACCACTCGTAGGGAACAAGTCCGTGCCCCCTCTCCCCGCACAAAGGGAACTGAAGGAGACCGGGGCCAGAGAAGTCAATGCCTATGGATCAGAATTCTGGCTTGGTCTGAGGAGCTGTACTTCCATCCCTGTCCCCAGCAGCCCCTGGGCCACTGTGTCCCCAGCAGCCAGCCTGCCCCCACCCCCCACTGCAGTCTTTCTGCCTGGAGGGAGGGAGGGGAGAACAGAGGCAGTTGACCCAAAAACAATAGAGGATCCCAAAGTGATGATTCACAGTCCATTCACAGCCCAACACCTCAGTGTGCAGAAGGGGAGACTGAGGCCCAGTTGGGGCCAGTGAGAATACAGGTTACTGGGCACAAAGCTTTGCCAGGCGTCTGGGACCTCAGTGTGTGAGTGTGTGTGTTTGGGCGGTGGAGCCTGAGGCTACCTCAGGGCCCCCCAGCTGCTGCCAGAAATGTCAGTCACCTCACCAGATGCCACCCAGGCTTGGCCCCCTCTCCCTCTTCCAGGGCAAGTCACTCTGGGTCCTCCCCACTGACTAAACTGAGACGCTGAGAGGTGCCCTCTTGGGGACAGTTCTGGAGAGACCCTCTCCTCCCCCTCCCTCTATCTACAGGCAGGTGTTTGAGGCCCCTCCTCTCTCCGCCTCTTATTCCCCTGAGGCCCGTACACACAGACTGATGGACACGGACACACACACACTCACACTGACAATACCTGACCCAACAAGCACACTATGGCTCCAGGGATTTGGGGACTGGTCCTCACAGTCACTTGGGGTTCCTCTCCCTCTATTTCACACTCACTCGCATTAGGGAGCCGCTCTGGCCCTGCCTTGGTCATGTCCCAGGCCACACACAGACTGTGACCCGGGTCTCACAGCAAGCTGGGGTCACGGTCACCCGCAGGGACCTGGGGTCTCTCTCACACAGTCACACGCACTCACTCGGCCTGTCGGAGACACACAGAGCCCCTCTGTGTCTCCCGCTTGGCCCCGGCGTCACCGCTCAGTGTCCCGGCCACACGGTCTCCCGGGCTGGGCCGCCTCACGCGCCGTGTCACCCACAGTCACGGGCTGACACCGTTCAGAGCCCCCCCCTCCGGCCACCCCGCGCCGCCGTCCCGTCCCGCACCCGTTCCTGGTCTCGGTCCAAGTTTCCCGGGCCGGGGGCGTCTCCGGGGCCCGCCGATTCCTCAAACTGCAAGTCCCGCCGCGGCTTCGCCACCGCGCACGGCCGGGCCTGGAGTCGCGGCCGGAGGACGCGCAGGTCCCGGGGCATGGCTCTCAGAGACGGGTGGGGACCGGTGCGCGGAAGACTCCGGGACAGGACGCGGGGGCGCGGGGTGGGGGGGCGCTCGGGGCCGGGGCTGCGGCATCCGCCGCGCCGGCCAACTTCCTCAGAGACGCGGGGAGGCAGGGGGCGCCACTCGGGTCCGCACCCCTCTAGCCCCGGCAGCGAGAAGCACACCCCAGGCTAAGGCCCCGCGCGCGCTCCTTACCTGGCCGCCCCGCAGCAGCTCCCAGCAGGGCCCCAGGGTAGAAGCGCAGCCCCGGGCCCGGCTCTGCGAGCGCCCGAGCGGCCGCGCAGGCTGCGCGCCTTTTGAATGAATCGCCGGCCTGGCCGGGAAGGTGCGCAGCCCCGCCCCCGCGCGTCACGGCCGCCGGCCCCGCCCCCGACGTCAGAGCCCGGGCTCGCGCCCCCGGGTCTCCACCCCTTGAGGCGGCGGAGGGCCTCCGCTTCTCCCCCCGGGCCGCGCTGCTCTGTGTCGCCATCTCTCGCGCCCCCAGGGAACTTGCAGGGGGCTGCGTGGGAAGAGGCCTCTTGGATCAGCCTTTTCTGGGCTCCAAACCAAGAAAGAAGGGGTTGCGGGGTGCCTGTGAAGCCTGCTTCTCCCTCTCCCACTCGCCCTGCTTGTGTTCCCTCTCTCGCGATCTCTCTCCGTGTCAAATAAATAAATAAGATCTTTAAAAAAAAAGGCGGGGGGTTGTGAGATGCAAGATAGACTGGAGACTTGGATGCTACTCCGGGTCCATTGCCAGTGCATTATCAGTCCAAGCAGGACCACCACTGCCCCTTCCTGGGTCTTGTTTTCCTCCTAGAAATTGGCAGCCAGGGAGAACAACCTCGCTTTGCCGACGAGGCCCAGGCCCGCCCCTGGAAGCCCCTGCCTAGTTGGTGAGGAAAGTCCAGGTGAAAGTGAATCTGTAGTGGAGGTCCATATGGTGTCTCCTGCCCATTCCTCAGGGCCCAGCCCAAATCATTCTCCAGAGGCCTTTCCTGTCTCCACCCCCCCAACCCCACTCCTGTCTGACAGGATAGTGAGTCCCTCCTTCCAGCAGGACAGATGACACCCTGTCCCTTCCCTACCACTTCCCTACCACTGTTCCAGGCTGTCCCTTCCCTACCTCCAGCTGTCCCACCTTGCCAATTCCCTTTGCCAGCCATCAGGGTGCCCAGCAAGGCAGTGACTAGGGACTCCAGGACACTATTCACATTGTATTCCCAGCTCTGTGAATTGTGCCCCCTGGAGTTGTGCAATATGGTAGGCCGGGACTGGAGGCAGCAGTCAGCAGCCAGAGTTTCCCTCCTGCTCATTACTATCGAGCGGATCCCAGGTGGTCCTCCCAGGACAGCAGGGAGGGCCTCATGCTGGGGGCAGAGGCCTGGCTGGGATCAGGATAATCACAGCCCATGACAGAGGTAGGGGAAGGTAAATAAGTCTGTTGGGGATGGATTGCGGGGAGAGGTGGAGAATTCTAAACAAACTGAGCTGTGGGGCGAGGGGGTGGGGTAGGTCAGGTCCCCAGGGTCCAGGAGATTCCAGGAAGAGAAATGGACACCTGCAGAGGGAGGGGGGCAGAAGAAGAGTTTCTGTTTCCTTGGGCCATGCCCATGTTGTAGGAAAGAGCAGGAAGAGCTCCAGGTGACTGATGTCAGTATCATAGCCCCACCCACCTCATATCTCAATGGAGACCCCCCCACCCCACCCCAGGGTTAGGGCAAGGGTGGTCCCAGGGTCAAACATCCCAAATCCAAGCCCATGGGGGGTGAAGGGGGAACCCAGAGAGGATCCATGCTGGGGACCTGGTGAGAAGGTGAGAGCAGCCTAAGAGGCCCTCTGTTTCTGCATATGTTTTCTTTGTAAGGGGACCTTCTATACCCCAGTTCCAAGTTCCACAGTTCAAATTTGTGGCATGTCATGTGCCACTTAATAGGCCAAATGGGGAAATGCTTTTCGGTCAAGGAGCACTGACCGTTAATCAGACATCCTACAGATGGTCTGCACCTACTGCCAGCTCTCTGTGAGGCTTTGGTCAAATCCCTCCCCAGATTCAGTTTCCCCACCTGAAAACTGGGGTGCCAGACTTGTTACCTGAAAGTGGTTCTAGTTCTCTGTGGGATGATGTGATCTGCCCCCACTCACCTGAGTGGTAAGGGTGGGCAGCAGCCCCCTGAGCTGGGAGAAAAGATCAGGGATGGTGGGGCTGATAGGGTCCCTCTTGTGGCTCTGGGAACTCTGGTTGGCACCTTTGGTCTCTCAGGCTGCAGGTCCATAGAGTCGGGTCTCCCGGAGCCACAGACCACACACATCCCACCCTCGAACCCTCAGGTTATGAGGGAGCCTAATTGTTATTTATTGTCAGCTCTGACTCCTGAAGCACAATGAGCTACAGATGGGACCCTGCCCAAGAATCTGGGAGCATCTAGTGAGGAGGCAGGGAAGGAGTTGTGGAGGCCACAGGAGATTTAAACTGGCTTTTTATGGAGCTTGGAGAGCCACAGGCTGAAGAACAAAGGACTCTCACAATCACAGGCTTTTAAAACTCCTGGAGTCTCAGGTGAACCCGTGAAATCTTAGCATAACAATCCCCGCACTTAGAGACCATCTCATTTGAACTTGTCATAGCGCAGCTGAGGAAGTGAGCCCAGAGAAAGCCTGCACCTCACTCTAGGTGGCACAGCACAAGCCCCAGTAAGCCAGGATGAGCTGTGATGAGGCTCCAGAGTCAGGGGCGTGGACTCCATGTCCCACTGAGGCTCTGCCTGCAGTGGGGACCCTGTCCCACAGGATCTGAGGCATGGGGTGCAGTTGTTGGCAAGGGATCTGAACAGATGGCCGTCCCCGGGGTTGTAGACCAGAAATTGTGGCGCCCTCTGCTGGCCACACTGCAATTTTAACAAGGAAGTACAGAGCAGGAGGAATGCTTTAGGGGCACCTGGCTGGTTCAGTCAGTGGAGAACAGGACTCTTTATTGCAAGATTGTAAGGTTGTAAGATTGAACCGCACGTTGGGTACAGAGATTCCTTAAAAATAAAAAATCTTGGGGCGCCTGGGTGGCTCAGATGGTTAAGCGTCTGCCTTCGGCTCAGGTCATGATCCCAGGGTCCTGGGATTGAGCCCCACATCTAGCTCCCTGCTCCGTGGGAAGGCTGCTTCTCCCTCTTCTACTCCCCCTGCTTGTGTTCCCTCTCTCGCTGTCTCTCTCTGTCAAATAAATACATAAAATCTTTAAAGATAAATAAATAAATAATCTTAAAAAAATTTTTTTTCAATGCTCTGTCCTTGGCTAACCCCTAACTGGCCAAGTCCTACCCCTCTAAAGGTGGGCTGCCCCCGTGTGTGTGTGCCTTAGCTCCAGGGCGAGGGTGGGCTTTGGTCTAAGGAGGAACTGGGGCTAGGAGGCCAGGGTGGGGTTCAGCCTTGGGGCAGGACAGGAACTGAGCTGAAGCTGCTGGGCCTGAGAGCTAGGTTCAGTCCTAATTTAGGTCCAGACCCTGAGCTGGGTCTGGAATCTCACTGGGGTTGGGTTTTGGGGTCACAGAGACAGGGGTCAAGTCCCAGTTCTGCCATTGCCAGGCTGTGTGGCCTCTGTGGCTTAAGCAAGTGACTTCACCTCTCTGAGTGCAAGCTCACCAGCCCAGGGTGTTGTGAGGATCTACTGAGATCCCACGTCGGGGGCACCAGCTTCTTCCAGGACACTGGATTCAGAACCCCTATCTGCTCCCTCTCCTCCTGCACCCTCAGTACTTGCTCTGTGTCCTCCCCACAGTCTGGCATCTGTGCTCTGCCTCCATTTGTCTCCAACTCCTGCTCAATGCCCCCCTCCTCAGTTCAGCCCTACAGTCTATCCCTGATCCAGCATGTGATGCCTGTTCACTTGCCTTTGCCAGGCAGGGCTCCTCATTGGCCATAACGGGCCCAAAATAGCACTTCCCCTCGCTGCTTCCTGCAACCTGGCCTGTGGCTTAAAGTCTGTGAGGACAGAAGGAAGAATTGGTGTTTGGCAGGCATGCAAAAGATGTGAAGGGCTCACAGAGGACATTTGGTGCCAGAGAGGGCAGACACTTGCCTAGGGTCACACCGTGAAGGGAGGCTAGGGCTGAGGCTTGAGTTCAGATGTCTGGGTGCCCCATCTCCTCCCCAGGCTCTGCCCAGAAGGTCTAAGGCAGGGCCTCAGCCAGACTTCCCGTCCCTTCACCAAGACTTCTGGACCTGCAGACTACTGCCAACCCCCGTTTGAGGTGTACAACAGGGCCCCTGGAGGCTAGCTACGCCAGTCGTGGGCTTCGTGGGTTCTAAGGGCCATTCTCTGACTGTTCTGACCACAGGAAACCTTCCTGCCTGGGCTGTCCTCCACACCCACCTCACCGTTCCCCTCCAGCCTCAGTGTTGCCTTACTGCGTGAGCTGAGGTTAAGTCCCTATCCCTCTCTGTGCCTCATCTTGCCCACAAGGCAGATGTCTAGCTAAATCCTGCCCTCCGTCCCTAGCCCTCTGTCCCGAGAACCCATTTGGAGAAGGGATGGCTCTCTCCTGGCCTCTGAGATCAGGACATCCTGCCCAGGGCTGGTCTACGGAACATGAGCCAGAGATCTCATGAGGGACTGGATGTGGCTCTGACCCCTCAGACTCCATCTCTCCTGTCCTCCAGCCCCTCCACGTGGCTGCCCACCCCGCTTCCCTGAGCCGCAGAGCCCTGAGCAGACAGACCACATGTGAATCCAGGCTGTACCACTTAGCAGACTAGTGACCTTGAGGAAGGCATTTTACCTCCCTGAGCTTCAGTTTCCTCATCTGGAAAAAGAGAATGATAATGGCACCAACTTCCCAGGACCATCTTGAGGATTAAGCGAGATGGTCCATGTTCCTGACTTGCAGCAAACAATAACTGGGAGCTGGGGTTGTCCCAGCTCCCAGTTATTGTCCTGTGACGTTTAAGACCTAGAGGGGGACTCTA